TATAGATATTAATAAAAATGCATCAGTGACTGTGAGTTTTGCAAAATTTGTCTTTTTGGAAAAAATTGCAACCACCAGGGCTCTCATTTCCCCTCCAACTCATGACCCATCCATCCCACCTCAATCTGTAGCTCCTTTTGACCATTTTGAACCCATCACTCTATCTTCTCTAGAGCAGGTCATGTGCAGCTTGAAACCTTCTGGTTCCCCCTTTGATGTGGTCCCCCCTCGACTACTAAATGAGGTGTTTCCAACTCTAGGTCCGTCCATTCTTGATATAGTATACAGTAGTTTATCCACTGGCGTGGTGCCAAAATCCTTTAAACATGCTGCTGTCCAGCCTCTCCTGAAAAAACAAACCTTGACCCCCTCCGTCGTTTCCAACTTCCAGCCTGTCTCCAAACTCCCATTTGTTTCTAAACTACTGGAGAAATTAGTCGAGTCCCAGTTGAAGTGCTTCCTGGAGGATCACACCATCTTAGAGCTTTTCCAATCTGGCTTTAAACCTCTCCACAGCACTGAAACTGCCCTGCTGAAGGTCTTTTTTTTTTCATTTTTTCATTTACCCTTTATTTATCCAGGTCGTCACATTGAGCCACGAGAACTCATTTTCAAGAGAGACCTGTTTAGGGAGCAGATGGTGGGGGTTAAGGGCCTTGCTCATGGGCCCAGAGTGGGGCGAATGAGGGTGGGGGCAGGTGTGGGTGTTTCACCTACCCCACCCACAATTTTGATGCTGTCGGGGCCGGGGCTTGAACCGGCAATCTTCGGATCACAGGCCCACCTCTCTAACCTCTGCGCCACCCTTTAACGACATCTTCAGATTCACAGATAATAATCCATCCATCCATCCATCCATCCATTATCTTTACCCGTTTATTCCATTTTGGGTCACGGGGGTCGCTGGTGCCCATGTCCAGCAATCACTGTGCGAGGGGCGGGGGACACCCTGGACGGGTCGCAAGTCCATCACAGGGACACATAGAGACAAACGAGACAAACAACCATTCACTCTCTCTCTCACACCTAGGGACAATTTAGAGTTACCAATCAGCCTAACATGCATGTTTTTGGTCTGTGGGAGGAAACTGGAGTACCCGGAGAAAACCCACGCATGCACGGAGAGAACATGCAAACTCCACCCAGAAAGGCCCCTGGGCCGGGGTTTGAACCAGGGACCTGCTCGCTGAGAGGCAGCAGCTCTACCAGTTGCGCCACCGTGCTGCCCCAGATAATAATAATAATAATAATAACAATAATAATATTCATTTTATTTAAAAAGCACCTTTCATGACACCCAAGAACACTTTACAGTAAGAACAAAGATCAACAGGCATAAAGAATATAAAATACATAAAGAATATAAAATACATAAAGAATATAAAATACATAGAGCAGAGTTAAGGATAAGCGAGTCTAAAGAGATGTGTTTTCAGAGCAGTCTTGAATATAGAAAGAGAGGTGGTGTTTCTTAAGTCAGGGGGTAGAGAGTTCCAGAGATGAGGAGCAGAGCAGGTGAAGGCCCTGCTCCCCATGGTGGAGAGGCGGGCAGAGGGTACACGGAGGTGTAGTGAAGAGGAGGATCTGAGAGAGCGAGAGGGGATGGAGATGTGTAAGAGGTCAGATAGGTACGGAGGGGCAAGGTTGTGGATAGCTTTGAAAGTGAGAAGAAGAATTTTGAAGACGATGCGTGATTTAAGCGGGAGCCAGTGGAGCTGCTGCAGGACTGGAGTGATGTGGTTATAGGAAGAGGTTTGAGTGATGACAAGGGCAGCTGAGTTCTGGACCAATTGCAGCTTCTGGAGAGATTTGTTGGGGAGGCCATAAAGAAGGGAGTTGCAGTAGTCAATCCGAGAAGTCACAAGACTGTGAACAAGGATGGCTGTGGAGCGGGGTGTGAGAGAAGGGCGGAGACGGTTGATATTTCTGAGATGGAAATAGGCAGACCGAGTAACATTGTTGACGTGTGAAGTGAAGGAGAG